TGTATCCCAAAGGGATATTTTTTCTTCTCTCTTATGAAGGAGGCAGAAATTAAATTTAGAAATTAATTCCAAGAGAAAGGAAGGTCTGGTGATAATTTCCTTTCTACTGCTAGATAAGGTTTGAATAGTGTACTAAAGCCAGCTCTCAAGTGGAAATTCCATATTTAATTTGCCATGTGCACTTTTTGTTTCTTTTGGAGGACTGAAAATATTTCCTGTATTTTGCAATCAGTTGAGAAACTTTGTACTAAAGCTTTCCTGTGATACTTTTAGTTCCCTTATTTGAAAATCTGCTTTTGTTTCATTCGATACTTACTATGCCCTTCTGGATTGCAGTTTCCTCTGCTTGTGAACCTGCCTCAAGGAGTTTCTGTTAAGGATACTTGAAGAGTTGTTTAATTTGAATGTCTTAAACTCCTGAGGGGCCGCAGACATTTCTTCTGAAGTCAACAGCAATTTCTGATAGCCAAACACGTACTTACTTTGTGCAATTTTCCTGAACTACTCTGGCTGCTATCATTTAACTTTATTTCTTCATTAGATGAGTGCCAGCCCTGCTAATGCTGGAGCAGCCTGCACTTTGCAAGGACCTCTGCAGAGCTGATGAGCTCCACAGGGGTTGCTGCACTTCTGAAACCTTTGCAGGCTCTGAAGTTTGGCAGCTGTTTGGGTCCCTGTAGAGCTCAGAGGTTCTTAGGGGCTGAAACGAGCATAATTGCAAAGTTGGAGCATTCACTGTGAAGGGCCTCACCCACTAATTGGCTGTCCCAATTAAGCAGCTGCTCTTCCCACTGAATAACGTTCAGGAAGGTAAACGTTTGCCTGCCCTGTAAGGTGTCCCAATTAACTGCCTTAAAATCAGCCAAGTGTCGTGTGGGGTATCTCTGTTCAATGAGTGAAACAATTGCATGCATCTCGATGGGGGCTGCTGTTTTTATGGCACTGCTGGCAGGAGCCTGGTTTTGTGCCGGACAGTAGGGCTGAAAGGATCTGCAGCAGTGCTGGGGAGCAGTGCAGATCAGAAAGTTGTAAAGCTGATGGGTGCTGGCGATTAATTTCTCTCCCTCTGTGTGTTCTGTGGGAAATCACTGCTAAATTATAGCAATTAATCTTGGCATTTGTACTCTGCAAGCTTTTTTCTATGTATGTGGGACAGCTTGCCTAGACTTTGCAAGCTTTTTAGAAAAGAAGCTCTGTTATTTATTACATTTGTTCATTGTACAGAATGGAACTGAGAAATATGGTTTCCTCTTTTTTCATGGTCTGGAGGTTATTTTTGTTTTGTTTATTGTTTGGGGTTTTTTGTGGGGGTTTTTGAGGACTTTTTTGTTAGGGTTTTTAAAAGTTTTTTGGGGTTTTTTTGTTTGTGGTTTTTTTTTCCAAATCAAAACTTTTACAGCTGTATGATGCATAGTGATCTCTGATGTATTTTAAGAGGAACTTTTATTGCCTGAGTTCACCTTACCTACACAGGATGCAAAAATTCTAAAATTCTGAATCTAAAAATGCATAGGAAGACATCAAAACTCTTCCTCAGTTTCATAATTTTATAGATGATAAAACCTTATAAGATAAACCAACATTCTGGGCCACAGTCAAACAGAATACTGCCTAAGTGCTGATGTCTAAGAACCTTCCTCTTACCTATATTTCAAATATGTTTTAATTCCTGGGGGAGGAGGGCCTGTATAATTTCCTGATGTGAGTACATAATATTGTTACAAGTGTAGATAAATAGAAATACACTTGGTTGGTTTTGTTTAAATTTTTATAAAAGCTCACAATTTCCAAAGTCTGCGAGTAAAGTCTGAGAAGTATGGAGAAAATACATCAGGTAGAAAATATTAAGGTTATTTGACTAAAAGTTTTTTGGTTTTTTTAATGCAGTGGTTAATTATTTCAAATTATAAAGAAGACTAATGGGATCAGTCTTAACCAACTGTGGTATTATTTCTTATTAGGTTGAAGAGAGATTTGGGTCTATATGGTTTGATTCAATACTTAAAAAAAAAAGCAAGCTTTTCCTGCTAAGTCTGGTACTCCTGTTAGGCAAGAAAGTAAGGCATGTGGGTTTTCTTGGTTTGTTTGTTTGCTTTAATGGAAATAATTAAACATTTTTGGAGAGGAGGGAGAATGATGTTTACCTTTTCTGTATGGCTGGCTCAGTAAGTATGTATGTCATAACATCATCTGTTCTGTATGGTCTCAATATGGAATACTGACCAACCATTATTTAAAGAAACAAGAATCTGTAAAGCCTCCCAGAAAGGAGGAATCCGCACACATATGTGAAATGCTTGATACTACCTGGAAGAGGGATCTGAGATCTCTGTAGAAAAATGTATAGAAAGACCTCTGCAGTAATGGGAATTTGCAATTGTCACCATCTGTCTATCCCCCCGACTCTTCCTTGGATGCTAGCCAGGTCTCCCTTGCCTCTTAGGAGTTGCAGTTAACTTAAAGCACGCTTATGATGGGAGCATTTCTTCCAGCTGTTTTACAGAGTTCTTCCCATCCTCTCCAGTGCCTATATCCTGTACTGTTGCAGAAAAGGGCCTAAGAACATTTTCTGAGTAAGAAAATTACTGTTGGCACCCATACTGGTTGAGGCAGCTTCCAATGTGCAAGTGGAAGTGTTCGTGGAGCTGTGTGCTGGAATGCACTCAAACTGATGACTGATTGTTAGCCTGGACCTGTTCCTTGAATCCATTTTCTTCCATTGCCACATAAGCCCCGTACTGCAAACAAAGATGATCTGCAAGAAGTTGCTTAAGAGAACTTAACAAAGAAATAGTCATCAAACTATCTAACCTGCATTACTTTTGCAGTGATAAAAAGCCTGGCTTTCCAAGTGAAGCACAGATTTTTATACCATTGGCTGGAGTGTACCTGGTTCCAAAGATTTTTAATGGAGAAATCAAAACTTGCAGGCTTCCAAGCAAGGTGGGGGAAAACAAACAGGTGGTAGTAGAAAAAACACTATTTGAGAAACTGAGTGGAGGTCACTGGAGGTGATTTGAAATGTTACTGAAATCTTAAAGCCACCTCTGTGTTCATGTGTACTCCACTATCCAATGAAATAGGACTGGCTTTGTGAAGTCCATCCAGGAAGGCTTTTATTTTTTACCAAACTTCCCTTACCTGTTTTTGCTTGAGTAATAGCATGCATGAGAGGTAACAGGGAGATGGGGAAGATGAGTCTGTACATCAGTTGATGAGCTGTTTCAGCCTGAAAAATAAGTCTAGCAAAGTGGCCAGAGCCTTGGAACATATTAACCTTGATAAAGTATTTGGAAGGCTAGGAGTCTTAAGCTAGGGCAAAGAACAGTCTTTTTAAATAAGTTTAAATAAATATCTATTTTTATCTCTTCTTTCTCACACATGCTTGCTGGCAAAATGCTTCTAGACTATTTTTAAACTTGTCTTTTTTACAGGTATATAGTCTTCTATAACTTGACCAGGTGACTTGCTACTGTGCTACCTATCTGCAAATATTTGGTTTTTTTCTTTTCTTTTTCCTGTTGGGAAACCAGTTTCTCTGTAGCACTTGTAAATGCCTACAGAAATCTCCCATGGATCAGATATTTATGCTCTGTGTTTAAAATGGGCATGTTACTCCATAAAGAATGACTCACTGGGGATCAAATAGGGCAATATATGTGTTAATCAGCTGCATTTCTGTCTGCAGATAGAGCTGTGTGTTAAAACAAACACACTGTAGACATGAATTGAGGGGGAAAATATGTCATGAATTTCCTGACTTTCAAAAATAATAATAATAAAAAAATTCTTTGCCGAAAATAACTTCATCTGTAAATGTGTTGAACATTTATTATTCTTTAAAGGATGGGTGGCCAGGCCTTTTTACATGTGGGCACCACATAGTGACATAGCGTGGTGGTGTGATGATCTGGGTTAGTTTAAAGGCTTCAGGTCTTTCCTAATCTGGATTGTTTTGACTGAGCCAGGTTAGGGAGCATAAATACAAGCAGGTATGCTGGTAGATCTCATGAGGTTATGAGAAGCAATTTAGGACAGTAGTCTTCTTGTCTGTCCCAGCTGCAACAACAAAACAGAACAAGCCCTATGGACATACTTTGTCTGGTCTGTTTATATTATATGTTACTACTGTTTAGTTATACATTCTGGTAACAACCCACAAAAGTAAATCAATTTTCTACCACCTGCCAAAAAAAGGACAAATATTCTTACCCTTCACTAGTCTCCAGCCATAATGAAGTGGTTTCCCTTGCTTCACCTCTATCTTAAATGCAACTAGGTAATTTCCTTCCTCCCACTATTTGCTAGATAATGTTTAAACACATGCCAGTATATGCTCATATATGCCAGTGTTTATAATATAATGCTCACGTGTTTTAAAACGTACTTGCTTCCCCAGTTTTAAAAGATTTTAAGGAGTGTTTTGCCTGGTCACCAGATGCAAACTGTGCTTCTAAATATGTTGACATAGCTGCCTGTCTCTGAATTTCTCTGGGAAAAAAGGACATAAATTAGTCTTCCATCAAATCCACTTCACTTCCTCACATGCAAATGCTGTGTCCACTGTTAAGTCCACACACCTTTTTCCCTTTCTGTCCAATGTTTTGACCCCTGTTAAAGAGCCTGTTGTACTTTTATGATAGCCTGTAACATCCATCTTTGCTGTTTAATATTGAATTCCAAGGTTATTGTCAAGATCTTCTGGATATCCTCAACTTTCTCACTGGACCCAAAAAAAGAAACAAACATAGGGAATTATAGCATGGCATAGTATTGCGGTTTGCCTTAAGTTGTTTCTCTTCAGCTTTTTGTGAAGTAACTTTGTTCTGTTGTGTTTCACAGGACGTGTACCTTAGCCGGAAGGACAGAGCTCCACGCACTCTGTCTTTGCAGAATAGAGGGTGTCTTTGTCTTGACTGAAAGTTTTATCTAGTGTTCCAGGTGTTGACTTATATGTGATTGCTTCCTATTTTTGTCTTTTCTCTTAAAAATAATTGTAGGTTCATGTATTGGACGGACTGGGGAGAAGTGCCAAAGATAGAACGTGCTGGGATGGATGGTTCAAGCCGCTCCATTATAGTCAACACGGACATATATTGGCCAAATGGACTGACGTTGGATTATGAGGAACAGAAACTTTATTGGGCAGATGCTAAACTGAATTTCATTCACAAATCAAATCTGGATGGAAGTCATAGGTAAGAAGTTTTTGTTTTATCTATATAATATGGTGCTTTTCTTAGAAGATGTTGCTTAAGCAACATCATAAGCTCTGTTGCAGAGAATTGTCAGGTTAACACTCTCAAGATTTTAAGCAAACTAGTGCTATCAAAAACTTTTGTGCTTCCCCGTCCTCCCCTTTTCAACACTGTGAATTTGAATGTGTGCTCCTCTTTGGGATATCCTGTAACTCTCACTAAGTCTTTTCTCAGAACCAGTCCCATCAAGAAATCCTTGAATCCTGATCTTAATTGTGCAAGACTATGTAGCAATAGTCCCTTTTCAATAGGTCTTCTGTGCTTTCTTGCTGTGATATTCAGAAATATCTACAGCTTACCTGGGCAACCTCTTCCAGTGTCTCACCACCCTCACAGTGGAATTTATTATTGATATCTAAAATAAATCTACCCTCTTTCAGCATAAAACCATTACCCCTTGCCCTATCACTACTACGCTCTGCTGAAAAGCTTGTCCCCGTCTTTCTTGTAGGCCCTCTTCAAGTATTGAAAGGCTGCAGTAAGTTTTCCCCAGAGCCTTGTTTGTTCTAGGCTGAACAACCCCAACTCTCTCAGCCTGTCTTCACAGGGGAAGGGCTCCAGCCCTCAGACCGTGTTTGTGTCCATCCCCCTCCTCTGGACTTGCTCCAATAGCTCCATGTCTTTCTTTTGCTGGGGGCTCCAGAACTGGACATAGCACTCCAGGTGAGGTCTCACCAGAGGAGAATCGCCTCCCTTGACCTGCTGGCCATTCTTCTTTTGATGCAGCCCACGGCACGGTTGGCTTTCTGGGTTGCAAGCACACACTGCTGGCTCATGTTGAGCTTCTCATCAGCCAACACCCCCAAGTCCTCCGCAGACCTGCTCATCATATACTAGTATCCCAGTTGTGTTGATCCTAAGGGTTAGGAAAAGAGTGAAAAACTGTATTTACAGGCAACTGTGCTAAAATTATTCTTTTCCTCTTAAAAGTTTTATGATGAGTTTGAATTCAGTCACAACTACTTAATTAAGAGTATAACTGGTCATTTGTATGTATGCATTTATCCTTAATTTGGTCAATGACCTTCTTTGTTAAATGAGATACCTTCAGCAAGTACTGATTGCACACACAAATGTACAGTTAGCTTGTGCCCACGGTATTGTATAGAGATAAGATTTTTGGAGATTATCCTTTGCAAATTTTTGTGATGCTCCAGTTGGTTTATCAAGGCATAAAATATATTTTCTTATGCTCTTCATTTTGTTCTCTCAGGGATTTGTCCCTTCTTCCACCACAAATGTACATTTGGGTAAATAAGTCAATCATACTGACAATATAGGTGTTTTGTGTGGACTTGTGAGTGGGAATACAGGCAGCACATATGAAACATTCAGTCTCTTCTTGTGGTATATATTTTGAACTTCACAGTTTATTGTAATGCTTCTTTGAAATTTTTACATTCTGTTTGTCTGAAATTCTGAGACCCAAAGTTCATGTAGTATTTTTTTAACAGTGTCTGTTTATAGAAGGTAACAGGAGTTGGATGCAGTTTTAGACATGTGTCTTTGGATATAAATATTATAGCTAACGTTGTGAATTTAAAACATGAATATATAAATATATATTTTGAAGTTGTCCTTCATTTGCTCTTTATTTCACAAGGATGAGAACTTAATAATACCAAAAAGGAGAGAAATATTTCATAGTTATATTTTCTTTAAAAAAGAATATTACGTAAGTTTTAAAGGAGAGAAATCGATAGGAGTTATCATGTACAACAAGAACTTGAGTATTTTATTTTTTAATCGGTCCTGGTTAACCAGAATATCCTAAAATCTCTCTGTTAAAACTAATTTATAATATTGTATATCTCCTGTGGTAAGAATAGAGAGATCGTGAAACCAAATGTGTAACAGAACATTAAAAAAGTCATCTCATCTGAAAGCAATCACATGTGGAGCTGAATGTGACAGCTTGCCACTTGAAAAATTGCAGTCCAGATGTTGATTTCTCACACATCTGAAATGTTCATGGTTGCTGTAGGAGTAACAGAAACAAGGAAAACCAAACAACCAACCCCACCCTTCAAACAACAATGCCAGCAGGAAGAAAATACCACTCTGCACCAACTACTGATATAATCACACCTAAAATGCACTTCAGTGTCTTTGTCCAATGGGATAATTTAGTGGTTATTCTTGAGTCACCCCTTTTTTGTGTTCTCTTCTTTATATTGGAAGTGGCTGCCTTAATATAACAACACATTATTGCAGTCTGATTGATGCCTTTATAGAAAGAGAACACGTATTGGGCATTGCATTCAATGGTACTGCTTTTGCAGAACACACAGATGTGTTTTTTAATTGTTACTTGTTTGAAAAGTGTCCACTGATGAAAAATCGCCACCACCACCACCATCCAAATATATATTTACGTTTTTCCCATGGAGTACAAACCTCCTTGTCTTATGTCATGTCTCCAGTCTTCCTGACACCAGAGCTACTTTGGTGTTTCCTGCTGGCACTGCAACATTTTCAGTCATTTTTGCTGTAGACTTTTTTGCAGTTTTTCCCTTACTGGTGATCTGTTGTGCAGCAGTGTAAATATACTCAGGTTTGGAATTTAGTTTTTACTTTAATGGTGTCTATTCTTTATTCCCTGGTCTGCCTTTGGCTAACCTGGAAATGATTCATTCTAGAGGTGAGGCTGTGAAGGTGCTGGTCTGTTTTGGTGTGAAGGGCTGACCAACCTTGTCTGTCTGCAGTCAGCTGCATCTCACAGCTGTGTCTCATGTCATAAAAGTTGTAGTCACCTGAGCCCCAGCAGTTACCTCATTCTGGAGTAAGTTCTCTGGAATTGGTGAAACCTCAAATAAAGACCTGTACAGGCAAGTAATATTGATTTTATTTTTCTTTTAAATTTTTTTTTTTTTAGATCCACTAGTTAATTCTTATATATTCATTAAAAACAAAACACTTAGTCTAAGACTTTAAAGTTGTTGGTATGTTAAACTGAAATATGTGAGGAATATTTTGTGGCAGTATGCTAATACATTACCATTTGAAGGCAAGAAAGGGAAATAGTCTTTAGAAAGGAAACCACATCCAACTTTCCCTAAGTTCTCAGAAGCACAGACCACTGCACCTGTTTTTCCCTAGGCACGTGAGAAAGTTCTGAAGCTTCAGAAAATAGTCAACATCTGTATATCCAGGCATTTTTGTTGTTTTTTATTCTTTGCAATTACATCATCAGGATGGGAGAAAAAAAGAAAAAGAAATAATTGTACAAGTTAAGCTGTTCTGCAATGGGCTTTTATGTTTTGGTTTTTTTCTCTGTTATGACCTCTTAGTCTGTGACTGTTTTAAGAAAAAAGATCTTCTGGGGCTATCTGAATGCATTATTTTTTGTCAAATACTGTCTTTCAGTTATTCCCCAAATTCACCTTTTTCAATATGTTATTTTACAGCTGTACTTCTGTAATTTTTGTCTCTTAATTATTTGATTGATGTTTTCAATGACAGATTCTCTAATGCTAAAAAAAATAATTTCTAATTCTGCAGACAAAACAAACCCCCTGAGATCTTCCTTTTAAGTGAAAACAATCCACAAAGCCTTCAATCTTTTCTCCCAGTCATCCCCACTCCCAGAAAAGAAAATCTAACCAGATTTTTCTGGGAACAGTAGAACTAATAACTTCTGGGTTTAGAAGGATTTCTACTTCTTGCTCCAACCCAGTAGCAATTCCTTTGGCATTTCTCCATATGTTCCTGTGCACACACTTTCTCCCAGCTTTTTTCGCCCTGCTTCTTGTCATCCCTCAAATGCACCCTTGGCTCCTAATAGTCCTTCACCTAGTGTTATCCCTCACTCCATTCTGTGTCCCCTGTGTGCTCTTGCTGGGTCTGGTGGCTTGACAGAGTGTTCCTAGGCAGCTTATTTCAGCTGCTCCTCCTGTCAGGTGGATCAAATACAGGAGGATGAGAGTCCCTCACGTCTTCACAACCATCCATTTGTTAAGGAAAATTTGAAAATAGTAGAACTAAAAATCTCTGTGATCCCTCCTGTCCCAAATACTTGCCCAAGGGTTTCAAGTTGTATTGGGTATGGAGTTGGAAGAGATGGATACTGAACAGACACACCCAGAATTATCAGATTGCTTCTGTGTGAAAAGATGACAATGTGTGATTAGGCCAACCTTTTTCCTCTACCACCTTTTAAAATCCTCTTTTAAGAGGGCTGCGCTTTAGAGGAATTTTTCTTAAGAGTTAAGAATGGGGGACAAGAAGATCATTATCACTGAGTGCAAAATCTAACTTAAACAGACTGTTTGGTTTATTTAGAAACTGTTAGTTTGAGTGAATTGTCCTTGATATTTAGACCATTCTTCTAACTGCAGTTTTATATGTAGAAAGTAAGTTTAATTTTTTATATCTAAATTTCATTTGATTAAACAAATATTTTTTTGTTTTTTTACCATTGCCAAGTGTTACTAGTTTTTGTGGTGCTTTGCCTACTGTTAGCATGCCTGGGAAAATACGCTTCTGGAAGCTGAAGCTATTGAAGAAATGGAAAAGGCAATTGAGTTACTGAAAGACATACAGCTGCTTGAAAGTATGATGTTCTAGATCTGAATACTTTTGGTAACTTAGCAAAGGAAGCAGATGAGTAAAGATTTTATCTGTTTGGAGATTTTTAGTGTTGCATAATGTGAGGTGGGAAAGA